CTGACACACCAAATAAGCCCAACTGAACGTACTGTAACGTACATTCTGGCACCTCATGCACCATTTAAGGTGAAACGGGACAATTCAAACAAGAAGCTCTGGTAAATGAGAATCTGACTAAAGGCTTGGAAAAAGCCGAACATTCTGAAGCTTAAAGCAGAGCAAAGTAAGTCTGCCTTTTCGTTTATATTAAGTTTTTTAGCCGATACTAGCACGTTAGCATACACTGAGACTTATTTACAGTCAAGATGGTAAAACGGATATAAAATGCTTCGGTTGCCAACCCCTGAGCTAAGCCTACTAGTAAGGGGTGATCAGTACGTGCCGTGTGGTTCAGATTTTGTGCGGATTGCCTGAAGTCTGCAGCGAAATTATAGTGAAAATTATCGCTTTAGCTACACAAAAATTTGTAGGCGCTACAGCTACCAGCTACATTTCATAAAACTGTAGCGGCTACAGCTATTAGCTACAAATATTTGTAGCTAACTACAAAAAGTAGCGCGCTACTTAGCTACTCCCCCATCCCTGAGTGTATGTATGCGTTAGAGATGTGCTTGTGTACATTGTATGTCTGTTTGTGTGTGCAGGTGTGTGTAAGCATGTATGCAGTGCACATAGCAGAAACATTAGCTTATTCTTATATATCTTATCAGCATATTAACACAAGGAATATATTTGGGCACTCATTTTTTCTGTGTATCAAAATGCCTTATATTGAGACACTGCCATGTCTAATTGAATTTTTAATTTTGTGAATGTGTCTAATGTTTAAATCTTTCAACATTGTGTATTTTTTAACTACAACAATTTATTTACAATATTTTGGGGGCAGGGTAGCCAGTTCTAATTTGTGTTTTCTCTGCTTGCTGAATTACAGTTGTGTTACTCTCAGGTAGTGTCAAGGTTAGAGCTTCATGTAGTAAATAGTAATATTTGCAGATCAAGCATGCAGGCTGTTGACAGACTGCAGGGCGCCTAAGCCAGTAAGCTTTATTCTCAGCAATGTTAGATTACAACTGTACACACTTAAGACACTAGACTAAGAGAAATAAACTACTTAAACAGAAAATTATTCTTTCTCATAATGTCCACTCCTTCATCTGTCCATTAATCATTTGAAGTCAGATTCATAACTCAGACCGGAATTAAACATTTTGTCCCATTATCCAATTTGGTTAATGTGTCATTTCCTTCCTCTCTTTTTGTTATGTTGAGTTATGTGGCTCTGTGTTGAATGGGAGAAAATGGGTTTTATGGAAATCAAAGACAAATCACACCTATACAAACACAAGCAGCTGGACCCACACAGATCCTAAATGGGGATGGATTTGCTTATGAGGGACTAGTGGGGACCTTGTGTGTGCTTTACATTTAGAGTCAAATCAGCATTCAAACCATGTTCAGTCAAATGGGGCCTTGAGTGTGTGTGTTACAAATCTGAGCTTTATCTCACCACCTGATGGTTTCTCAGACTAACCACTCCCGGGAAACGAGTGGCCAGTGTTTGCATGCATCGGAGAGGGGGCTTCCGTTTCAACCATAAACTCCCACACTCACGAAAGACCTCTGCTGTCAGTCTCACTGTCAGTAAAGTGGCCTTTCATCTAACATATCCTGATGTTGATGAAAGAGCAGTTATTTGTCACCCTGTGTGATGAGTGGGAGTATTTAGTTGTAGTTCATAGCACTTTAAGGTGCTGTTGCGGCATGGGCATATTGCCCCAGAGCTCGAGGTAATCAGCCCATCTTTGTTTGCTGAAACAATAATATTTACACCCTGACGCAATCAGCCGAGAACATCTCTGTTGACTACTGGGTCGTGTTTTCACAATAAAGTTGTGTTGGAGGGGAGTTCACATGCAGGAGTCACGCTACACTGTACTCTCTGTCCACAAGTGTGTATTCAATATCAATACATGCGTGGGCTGGTACTCTGAAACACTCCCCTTGCTTACTACTTTTCTCTTTCTATCCCCTCATTTTTTCTTTACATCTCACTCACACCGATTCACCTGAAAGCAGTATATATCTTATACCTACCATAATGTAACTGATCTACATAGTTTAGGCAATAGAGGTGTTTTTGTGGAGCTTTGACATTCTTGACACTGCTGATTGCTTTTGGCATCTCCTAAGCTTTGTTACAACAGTCCCTGTGTTAGGATGTAATCACCCCAAGCTTTGCATTGGACTGCTACACAGAAAATAGACTTTGTACATGCAGAAGATCTGATACTTGTCAGAAACAAATAATTATTTTCATTTGTCAAATTGACAATTTGTATTAGATTTATGCATAATAAATCTTGTGAAACAGTACTTGCAACCTTGAAAATGAAGCTAGGAATCTTACTACGGAGCTGTTGTTGCAGACAGTGAAAGAGATGTTTCCCGTGCTCAGGCTTGTCCTGACATTAAGATTAAGAAAACAGAGTCGGGTTTCAACTGCAGAAATGTATATGTGTGGTGTCTAAACAATGGCTGCTTCTTGTCTGCCTGGGGAAAGTGAAAATGTGCTGTAGCATTTACATGACTGGGACACATTGCTATTTGCTATGTTGTTTGGTTACTGTATGGTCACAATATTTGGCATTCTTTTTTACTAAGAGGTCTGTATATATCGCCTAAAAGAGGTATTATTATGTGCTTATTAGCTGTCTTATATTTTAGCTGTTTTTTCCCAATATCTTAGTACATTTGTTTATGTTTATGATGAAGCACAGGAGGGTAAGGTCTTTTTATAAAAAATGTATATGAGCCCCCAGAGGTGGGAACAAGTCATTGCGTTGCAAGTAATAAATAAATCTTGACATTCAAGTCCCAAGTCAGGACAGGCCAGTCTGAGTCAAGTCCTGAGTCAAGACAGGCTAGTCCCAAGTCCTAAACTTGAAATCCTAAATATGTCAGAATACATTCTTCACCACACTTAATTCCATTTTAACATATAAGACCAGCAATGGTAATAATAGCCATATATTAAAATGGTGGTATGTTAAAATACCATGCTAATGCAAGTATAAATTTACAGCATTTTTGCGGTATGTATTTATTGCCCTTCCATAAGTTCCCATTACTATTTGGCTGCAGAATGTCTGATTGCTAGGTATGGATAATTAGATGCTTATGGTATATTAGATAGAAATGGATAAATAGAGTTGACTAACAGCTTGACTTGCCTGTGTTTCCCAGTGCTACCTATCAGCGTAAGCAATACAAACAAAGGGTCAGCTGTGATTACTTTTATATGGTGAAATTATTGCTTGTGTTTTGATGTGACTATGACGTGTCAGTAGCAATTACATGGCTAATGCTAATGAAAAATAAGGATGGACATGATTATTGTGGTATGGATATTCAGATACAGCTTACTTCTATTGCTTACTCAAGTAATTGAATAAGACATGAGTAGTTTGTTATAAAATAGTGTGTGTTATCTTGTAATTTGCATTTTTGACTGAGTGTGAGGTACTTGCACATTGCTAGGAAGATAGCTAACAGGCTAACTGGCTCCTTGAAGAATTTTCAGTTAGGCTTTATTTTGAATTCTTAAAATTCGTAAAATTCACTGAAAAACTGCAGCATACAAAGTAAAGGATATGTTACATGAATAAAGGCTACTTAAAGTAAATGTTTCTACATTAAAGCTGCTGTATAATACAACGTGACTGGCGCATAGAATAAACTGTGCTAATATATTGATCTGCTGATGTGACAAAAAATGAAAGTTTATGTTGTTATAGGTAGTGCTAGAGACTGTGCTTCAAGTTACTTTGTCTTTGTGATTGTTGAGAGTCTTGAGTTGTCCTAAGACTGAAATCCAAGTCAGAGTCGTTGATGTTAAAGTCAAGTTTTAAAGTCAATATTTTTAATTCAGTCAAATCTGAATTCATCATATTGAGTCATGTAACTAAAGTGCACATCTCTGTGAGCCCCCATAATTAATTTACCTATCAAGCAGTGCTGTTTCCCTTGAGGATGTTGTGACTCCAGTAAGTGTGTTTAGTAAATGAAACTGATCTGATGCCTAGTAGGATGAGACTGCAGAAATCTTGCCGGTGATTGTAGAGATGAGCTTTTTGTGTCCACTGTTTCCACTTTCTATTGCAGTTTTGCTTGTTGAAGCTTTTAGACCAGTTGAACCTGTTTCTGGGCAGGAAACAATTGCTTTGAGACAAACAGCCAAGAACAGTTGAAGCTCTGTCAAGCTAATCAGTAGTATGTGTCAGTGATGATGGGGGTGGATTTCCATGGAATTGATGCAGTGGAACTGACTACCATGCACAATCTTGTTATCAGCAGATGAAATCACTGTAAATTCTTGCCGTAAACAGTTTTCCCTTTTGTGCACAAAATACAGTCTGTAATATTCTGAAACAAAATTTGATGTGTCATTTTGTCATTTCATAGTGTTTTGTTCTGTCATGTTCTGTCATGTTCTGTCATGTGAAGGTGCACTATTGCAGTATTTGTACTGAAGTAGATTTATTGTACCTGAACAGCGACCTCCTCCATTCATTGTAGGGGCATCTGGTCACCAGTGCAAATTTCCATGGAATTCCCTGCCATATTGAAGGCTTGTACATTATGTTGCCGCATGAGTTAGGTCTGAATGATGAACAGGTGTGCTCATGGATGGAGTCTGTAAGCACTGTTTGTGAAATGTTTAGATAGTTGCGCACAGCCTAAAAATCCCAGAAGAAACAGAGATTGGTCATTGGCCACTGGGTTTCCATGCTCAGTTTCTTTCTTCAGTGCTGACCATGATTCAAATAAATACACTGTAATGTGTTGCCAGTGTGATCACACTTTAATGCCCCTATAGCTCATTTTTATCTATCTATAAATTGTTAACAACTTTTCTGGTGAAACTCAGTTGATATTTAGATAAATACTAAGAGTTCAGGCGAATACAACGACAAGGTGAACATCGGTAAATCATCTACAGTGGACCTTCGTCAGTGCTGTTAGAATGCTAATAATCTGTCTTCTTCTGTTCATAGAGTGTATGGATTTTACAAGGGAATCCTGCCCCCTATTCTAGCTGAGACACCCAAGAGAGCAGTTAAGGTAAGAGACACACCATCTTTGGCAGGGGTTCCTGAACTTTTTCATGCCAGGACCCACACGTAGACGTTGTGTATTTGTCTTAGGACTCACATCATGTTTTTGGGAGAAAAATAAGACATAAACTCATGAAAGCAAAAACAAGTAAGAATAACACTTGCATAAGCCTACACTGTTACACACATGGTGAGATTGTGCAATAGAAAAATAATAAAATAATGACATATAAGTGATCACATCCATTTAGATGTGATCAGTTATAACCTTCATTATTAATCTAGTAATTACTGTTTATTTTTTCAAATGTTAATATTCAGTAATATTGATAAAGAAATATTTCTTATTTTAAAACTGCTTGAGTATTTTGTACATGCTTCTAGTGGCACTGTAGTTCAATGTAAGCAACAAAAAACAGACTTGAAGCTTTGACCATGGTGACCGCAGATCACTTCTGCCAAAACTTAACGTTGTGTGTGTGAGGGCTGCACCAGTGCTTGCTGCATGTGCCTGATAAAAACACACTGATAACATAGGAACGCTTTACAAATGCCACCATTGTGTTGCAGAATCAACCTGGTTGTTTTTGACCTAAAATGCATTTCATTTCCCTCTGCTCAATGAAAACAAACAAAAAAGAGTAGGCATTGATGCAGCTTCTTCATGACACACTCTTCCCCACATTAAGAATCACATTTAAAAAAAAAAACACTGGTCTACGACATGCATAAGCATAGACCCGAGTCTGTCCTAGTAGTAGTTTATAGTGTTCCATCACTAGCAAGTAGGATCAAACACGGGCTTGTTTGTCCTCATGCCATGTGTGTTTGCTGTGGAGAAGTCTCAATATTGACCTACATGACCAGGGATTTCTCCAGCCCTCCTCTCGGCATCACACATCCTAATGCTGTGGGAGGCAGACCGAGCTATGTGCTCTGTGATGATAGGCTTTAGGCCTTGTGTGAAAGTAAACAGGGAGGGAGGGAACAAGAAAATACAGCTAATGGATTAGGTTCAACAGTCTAATGTGAAAGACATCTGGATCTAGGTGTTAATTAGATAATACTGAAGCATGGGCACAGTTGACAAACAAAATTTCTCTCTCTCTCTCTCTCTCTCTCTCTCTCTCTTCTACTACTACTACTACTAAACAGTGCAATAGTTTATACAGTGTAATAGTAATCTTTAGGCTTTGATTCATTGTGTTTCAAACATTATGTCCCTGTCTCCGTCTACAACAAATCTTTTTATTGCTTTTAAGTGTATTTTACATTCAAATGCATTCATTACATTTTTCTTAGTTTTTTTCTTTGTTTTATTTGTTTATAATACATGTACCATATATTTCATCAGACGTCTACAATAATTTAAAACAGCCAGATAAATGTTGCTGCTTTCAAGTCAATCACTACAAGCTCCTCAGAATGTGCTCATTCTGCTACATGTCTATTTACTGCAACTGCTTTTCTGACCATCAGAAAACAGAATATATAGTATATTTTATTATATACAGTACTCTGACAAAAGTCAGAGATAACCAATTCATTTTTTTATTTTCCAGTCAAAATGGCCATTAAGCAATGTTATCAGCATCAGGAAGAAAACATACATTTAAATTACACAGAAGGCCTAACAACCACCCTTTTTTCAGTATTTATTGTGTCCATACTTGGCCTTTATTACAGCTTTCATTATTTTCAGGAGACTTGCTTTCAGTTTTTCAAAGAAATCTGCATGAATATTTTTCCACACCTACAAAGCTCAGTCTTAGAAGTTGGTTACGTTTCCTGCTTCTCACTATCCAAGAAATCCCAAACACATTCTGCGATGTTGAGGTCTGGGCTCTGGTGTGGCCACTTCTTTGCTTCTTTCTTTGCTTCTTTCTTTGATTAATATCTTCTCAGCAGTGTGCTTGGGGCCATTATCTTGCTGTAGATTAATTTCAGATTTGCATGATGTATTAAACTTTATTTGTACTTACCAGCATTCACCATGCCTCAGAAACAAATTGCCAACTCTCCAAGCTTGCACTAATGGTACACCATTTTTAACTGTTGTCTACTTTTATTCTATCTGTATCTTGTTCTGATTTAGACTAATCAGTTCCTAAACCTTACTCCCCATCTCAGATGTCCAGTTTTAGTGTTGTAGAGCAAATTCTTCCTTTTTTGTCTCTCTCCCTTTCTCTGTATCTTTTTAATCATTTTTAAATTTCCCTTTTGGAAACTTGTGTTTTTTCTCTTATTTTCCTTTGACTTTCCTCCCTCCTTATGCAAGTGGATTATCTTATATTAACTTCCTCAGAAATATCTCCTTTTAAGATGCAATTGAGAAAGAAATTTTCAAGGCAGCTAAGGTATGTTTGGGTAGTTGCCTGTGTGAGTGATAATGTCTCTGTGAAGGGTAACAATGTCAGTGACTCCTTTGGGAACATCTTTTTTGGGAAGACACAGCTGTAAGTCACTGTTTTTAAGATTGGAGGGATGAAGGTGCTAAAGTAATTAGACACATTAAATACTGATAGATAAATATAGATAGATTATATCGTAAATATTGGAGACTGTGTAATGTCTTGTTAAATATATGTGAAAAATGAATTACGTGCTTAATGACCATTTTGACGGGACACTTGACAGGAATGTCTTAGTTTTATTGGAAAATTTACTTGGAGAAGCACAGTACTTTGTTTCAAGTAGATTGTTCCTTAAAATAACAGTGTTTCTATTTGAGAATGACCACTGTACTTAGCTGGTTTTCTTGTCTGTGTGCACACAGGAACATGTTTGTGTGTCATAATCTTGATGGTCTGTGTGAGCTTGCTCTTACAAAACAGTGCATAAGAGTTGTGTTTGCTCAGGGTAGTGACATGTCTTGGATGTGTGTGTGTGTGTATGGGTGTGTGTGTCGGTCTAAATACACTTCCTGACAATGACAGCTCATTTGTCCTGATCTGCTCTACAGTTTTTCACCTTCGAGCAATACAAGAAACTGCTGAGTTTCACTCCCTTATCTCAGGGCCTGGTAAGTCATCTCCTATGCCACAACTAAACACATTCTGTTTTTAATGATACTATTAATAATGAATCAAAGGTAATTTGCAGGCTATTTTAAAACTTGCCTGGGGAGAATGACACACATCCACACACGGTCACAGACAATGTACACTCAGTCATCAGCTAATACGTTTCCACAGTCTGACTATAAGCCTGGTGTTGTCTTCAGCATTACTAAAGCTGCTGGCAGAGTGAAAGAGGTGTAAAGTGAGGCGTGTGCAGGCCAGCAAGGCTTGAGCGATGGCCCATTATGGGGACAGTGTTCTGTCAGAACGGCCACAGGCCTGATGGATGAGCTCTTTCTCGCTCAGCTGTGACTCACTCACACACTCTTTCTCTTTCTCTCTCTCTTTCTCTCTTCTCTCTCTCTCTCTCTCTCTCTCTCTCTCTCTTTCTCTCTCTCTCTCTCTGTCTCTGTCTGAGCACATCTCCTGTCCACAACCTGTTCGTACAGCCAAAGCAAGGGAAATATTTACCTGGCCCATCCATCACAGCCCGCACCCCACCCGCCTCCTTCTCTGGACATGTCATGCCCAGAGGAGGTAAAGGATGTGGTGTACTGTATGTAACATATGAGGCAGAGAGCTTGAGTAAGATCATTAGGTCCAGACTGACTGTTTAAGTAGCATGGCGGAGCCCCCCTCCTCCTATTCAGCACAGCTGAGAGGGCTCAGAGTGATTGATGACGACATGTAGAGTAATAATACAAATAAGGAATGAAAGAGTGAATGGCTGGCTGTGTAAACACGGCTGAGGCCTGTTTGAGGAGATGGTCCGGCACAGTGTGACGGGGGGATAGAGACGAAAGGAGAGTAATGAGACTCGTGTACAAGCCTGACGTTTTCCCATTACACCAGTACAGCAACGCTCACAGACACATACTTACCTGAAAACGCACACACACACACACACACACACATACATACATACACACATATATATATATATATATATATATATATATATACATACACATATATATATATATATATATATATATATATATATATATATATATATATATATATATATATGTGTACAATTTGTCTGACATACAGTAAGTATACATCATTGTGCTTATGTACACACAGTTTGTCTGTAAACTAGCACATGTATGTACTTTAAGCATGATGATGGAGTGTACTTAACTATAAGTCTCGGTAGACATCTGACCCATATGTTATTTCAGAAATCATGCTGACTGAAATTGATAACAATTGATAAAATAAAGAAATTATGAGGAAGGAACAAACAACATAAAATCAACCATTTATTTAACAATGGAAGTCTAAAAATGAAATCCCTTCTCCAGTTTTTTTGATGTTAAACTTTTATCACCATCTAAACAAATTGACATTTATTTCAGTCTGTTTGTATATGCCAGTTCATTCATCTGCCTTTGTGTGTGAACCCATTATTTTCTGTAGAAATGAATGACAAAAGCAGTTTCATTCAGTTAGTAGGTTAAAGTCAAGCCTTCTGTCTGGACAAACACGTTCTTAAGAAGTTAAATGTCACTGTCAAATTGTGCAGTTTGAAATATGATGTTGTTCCGACTTTTATACCTCTAGCTTTGACTGGTTGTCCAAAATATACAGTGTGTTTGAATATGACTCAATCATGACTTTTCACCTGCAGTTCTTGCAAACTGTCTTTATTGTACCTCTTCTGGCCTCATTCCTCATCTTATGTCTTGGCACTATGTAACGTAAGCCTGTCTGTGTGTCTGTCTGGGTCAGGCTCTCTCTGTGGCTGGCCTGGGCTCAGGCTTAACTGAAGCTCTGGTGGTTAATCCATTTGAGGTAGTGAAAGTGAGCCTACAGGCCAACCGAGATTCCTTCAAAGTGGTAAGACACAACCCTGTTTGAGGCATGTAGTGTTATTATCTCATGTGCATGGAGGCGTCTTCTTAATTTGCTCTCAATGCATGTTCACCTCCTGTTAATATGACTTTCTGTCTTTGTTTCCCAATGCAGCAGCCCTCCACGTTTGCCCAGGCTAGAATGATCATTAATGCAGATGGCTTCGGCCTCCGTGGGCTTAATAAGGGTCTTACCTCCACACTGGGACGCCATGGCGTCTTCAACATGATCTACTTCGGCTTCTACTTTAACGTTAAAGACGCTATTCCTGCCAGCCAGGTAAAACACAGCAGTGACACTGAGTGGTTGATGTCCAAAAGATGTGTCCTCGGTTTTTTAACAATATCCATGAAGAAATAACTGAAGTCTAATTTGTACACTGTAGTTTGAATTAAACTAGAATTGGATGTATTTAGCTGTGTGGGTGTATGCGTTGAGAGAGAGAGAGGGAGAGGGGAGGTGAATGGGGGAAAGGGAGAGGTTGAAGAAAGGAGCTGCTAAGATCAACTGTATTAATACCTTCTTTGTTTGCTCTCTGTCACATCCTCAAAGGTTCACGTTACACATCCGGCAGGGCTCTCTACTCCCAAACAAAAGTTAATTTTGTTTAATGGAACTGGTACCATACGGCTGCTCCACATGTATAAACTGAAGCATTAGATTAACTCCACTGAACTAATTGGAAGCAGGCAGTGGTATTATTTTAGTAGGAGAGAGCTACAGTGTAAGGCCTCCTCAGGATTTCATGTTTCCCTCCTAAATTTGGCCTGAGAATGTCATTGCCTGAGAAGCTGCTTGACGGAGCCTGAAGCTACCTAGACCTGATTTGGCCATCCATTAGAGAAAGGAGCCAAACAGGCGGGAACGGCACGCGATGCTCTTGGGGAGAGCTGGCCTTTGAGGCCTTTGAGGTTTTAGGTGGAGCATCTGATTTTCCCCTGTGATTACCAGATGGGCCAAGTCATTGTACGGAGATTAGGATCCACGTAGCCAGATCGGGATTAATCAGTGATTCATCTTCTCCAGTGGTTTCTGGCCACATGAGAGCATGCTAGTTTTGACTGTGTGGGCTCTGTGCTGTTGTACAGTAATGCTGGATTGAGAGGTCCTTCCCCAGTCACAGTTCAGCACTTCATTTTACTTTAGAAGGCATTTGGTATGGTACATATAATGTAGTAATATTTGAATGAGGGGTGCTAGAAAAGGTAAATGGTCTGATGTTATGTAGGCGTAGGTCTGAGCACTGTTTGTTTAGAATGTTGCTCCTCCCCCATGCAGTAAACTTTAGCTCTTGATTCAATTTGTCGCTCAGGGTGTCCGCTACTTTGAGAAAGGCCGGACCCAGCGAGACTGCTGTCATTTGTAAAAATATCCTGACCAATTAGCTGTCAGAGCTGCGTGGGTCTGGGCTTCTTTTGGTACTGTAATACCCCGGTGCCGAGTCACAGCCCAATTACCCAAATTGTCCCCATATGCCTCCCCAGTCTGCCTGCATGAACCCTGTTTATAAATCCTCTCCCCAAAGCCTGGCTTGTGCCATGTGATCCACCACAGCCAATAGGAAAGCTGCTCTCTTCTCAGGAAACTCTAATCTGCCCCCCGCTACCATAAAATGATCTGAGCTTTCATGCCAGCTTTGCAATCATATCCACAACCCACCCCTTCCCTTCCTTTCTCACTCTCTGTCTTTTTCCTACTCTGCCACTCTTTCGTTTAGTTCACGTATCAATGAGGACTGCCCCTCAGTGGTGCATTCCTCATTCTTCATTGACTCCACATTTGCTGGTCTATGTTTTCAAACAAGATAATTAAGTCAAATTCAGAACTATAGAATATATGCCATTGCATAGTGAGGCAGCTGTTTTATGTTCTGTATGTCTGGTGTATGCCTGAAGTTTTTAAATGTTAGCTCTAAAATCCGTGTTCTTATACATAAACATTAGAATGCTCAGATTTCTAAAACAATGCGTACTTGTTACCAAACACCATATTATTCCAAATGTCTATGTTCTAAGTGTTTCTAATCCCCTGTTGAAATGAATCATTTATGTTGTGGGTCATAAATCCTGCAGCCTACTTTCTTAAATACTAAATTACTCATCCTCTCCCAAATGTCTGTTTTTATCTCATGTTATTGCTATTGATGTGTTTTATTTTTTGTGTTGAACTCCAACCATATATGTTGGCATGACAATAATTATACTATACTATCATTGAGCCCAAAAAAGAAAAAAGGAGTATCTCAAAAATGTTAACTTTACAGGAGAGAGCAAAAACCTTTACTTTTAATGTAAATTTAGATTAATATATTCCAAGTACTTTTGAACTATTTCACACAATGTTGAGGACAACTGCTGTACTCAAATCATGTAGAAAAAAGCGCAAAAATGGAAATACATGTTTTTTTTGTTTATTTTTTGTTTGTTTTTTGGGCAGTGATGCTATTTTATCCAATTTTTTTCCTCTCTGGTAGGACTCTCGACTGGAGTTTATGAGAAAGTTTGCTATAGGTTTGCTGTCTGGAACCATTTCATCCTGTGTGAACATCCCTTTTGACGTGGCTAAGAGCCGTATCCAAGGTCCTCAGCCAATCCCAGGGGAGATAAAATACCGTAGCTGCTTCCAAACCATGGCCTTGGTGTACCGTGAGGAGGGGTGAGCATCACTGTCAGGTGTCACAGTGAGACAGACAAACTGACCAGAAATGCAGACAGGTTTACAGATGCAAGAACCGGTCTGAAAGGAATTCCTGAGGCAACATAGACATGGCTGTGGGATTTTCATCACTGCAACCCTTTTTTTATTCAGTGATGTCTTCGGTTGCTTTAATAACCAATATTTGTATTGTTTGTTATTTTATTTGAACCACTTTCCTCTGTCTGGGCCTTGTTACAAGCCAAATAAGTAGCAAACAACTCTTGTTTACATGCTAAATATTGACATCCATGTGAGATACCAGCATTCTTTTTCATTAAACTGGCATTTATCAACTTTGTTTGTCCAACGTGCCAGATTGGCAGAGTGAAAGCAGTTCGTCATACTCTAAAAGTGTGACTGCTTATGTGCTGGTGTGTTGTGCTGATTAATCCAATGCACTGGTTTCTGAGGTCAGGGATGCAGTCCCTGTAGTAGATGAAGAAGTCTCTTTTGGTTGACAGGCCTCATGGGAAGCTTTATGGGTGAAATCATTGCTTTTATGAGTCTTCAGGACCTTGATTTGCTACTTTCACTTTGCTCTTAGAGACTGGTAAGCTGCTCCTTATTAGATGTGTTGGGGTAGGGTTGTGTGTGTGTGTGTGTGTGTGTGTGTATCTGTTTCTGTCTATGTGAGTGAGACACTGTAACCATTCGAGCTTTGGGGGTGCTGAGAGGGTTCCCCCCACCCCCATCCTGTCCTGTTCAGGCCTCTAACACAACACAGTCCTAGCTAATTAGTAGTCCCCATGGGAGACATTGTTAAGCAGGTCCTAACGAGGAGCGCGGCGCTCGGCAGGTCAGTTTAATCAGACAGCGGGGCAGAGAGGAAGTGGCTCGAGCCTTATTAACGCCAGCAGAAGCAGGGGACAGGGGCTAGGACAGGGAGATTGCCAGGCTCCTAGCCAGAGATCAGCTTGAACACATTAGGGGCAGGTACACAATACGGCCAATTTTTAGGGCCCTGTACCTGCCTAAGCATCACAGAGAGAAAGAGTGCATGGGAGGGGTTGTGTGATTAGATGGATCTTTACTGTGCCAGTCCTCTATTGTTGTAGCAAAACATCATTCGTGTGGACAAATTGTGCATTGATATATCATTCATTACTCTTATGTAGTACAATTAACTTTCATGTCTTAACAAAGTCATTACCTTGAGATACTTTTGACCACTGAATTAAAATCCTTTGCATTTGGAAATTTGGAAATAGCCTTTTCCAAGATGGTCGAAACACAGACAGAACCTTTTAATACTGAGAGCTCTCTTTATGTTTAGAATTAAAAGGTTCTGTCTGCAAATAAACCTGAGCTGAAACTTCACGGGGCTCTTTCAGATAAACCCGTCTTTTCTAAGAAATGCTGAAAATGCATGAGATGTAGGTCAATGCAAAGTCAGCTATTTTAGTGTAATGTGATGTGTAACATTGTATTATATTAATTTTATTTATAAATATTTGCACAGTTTTTCATAAGCCATGTCAATATCATCAGCACATTCATTATAATTTATCCACATTAAAACGATAGTAAGTCATCACAAAATCAAAATTCAAAATTGGAACAGGTTTATAGTACAAATCTGTTGGGCTACATCAGTATGAGATATAGGAATAGTGTAAATGTATTGTACCATGTGTACCTATGGGAAAATGTAGTATGACGATAGGATCAGAAAAATTTTCCATATCATTAATTATGAGTGGAAAGAACCAGCATTAAGAATCAAGAGGCTCAACCGTTAATTTCTTTAAACCAGCTAGCCAAATTATATCTAGCAAACTGGTAACCTCCAAAGATGAGAATATTAGCTGATTAGCTGATCAATTAACTGCATTCCTGGGACTCAGCTTTTTGTTAGCTAATTCTCTGTTTTGTAGAGATGATAATTTAACTAGCTGACTAGCTAATAGTAGCAGTGGGTATAGGTAACAGTAATAGTATAGTATGGTGACTATATTGTTTTTGCTAATTTATGTAAAAAGTCTAAAAGCCATTTTTACTTTAGTAGTTTGCAAGCCATCATCATAGCTGGTCTTCTAAGACCTCTAAACAGGCTAATTCTGAGCTTGAGCACATGGGTAAAACATGAATTCTTGTTGGTTATCCCACATTCATCAGCCATAGTGATTTGACTGCAGATATAACCTTATAAAAAATGAATAATTTTTAAAAAAGGAATCCTTTACTTTTAAAAAGATAGAAACTGTACAACTGTTTTTTTTGTTTGTTTGTTTTTTGTTTTTTTGTTTTTTTTAAACAGTGAAGCACAAATAATCAGCACTAAATGATTATTTATTTGCACATAACTCATCACAAGGATGTTAAAATCACCCAGAAGGATAAGCGGTTTAGATAGGGTGTGTGTGTGTATGTGTGTCTTAGATAGAATCCTATAATTCGAAGCCCATGACATATAAATGTAAAGTGCCAAAACTCTATTTGTTGTAAATTCAGTTACACAAAAAAGGGATATTAACTACTGAATATTGTTTAACTAACTTTAACTACTAATTGCAGCTCTATTGTTTATTCTGTTGTGCTATATCTCTGTATATGTTAAACTGTACTGTGTTGTATATAAATTGTATCATGAAGGTTTACAGAGAAAGTTTGCCATATTGTCACCTAGTGTATTGATTTTTAAGACCATAAGTTCACACTTTTTTTTCTTCAATTATTATTTTTGTAGATATCTCGCATTATACAAAGGATTGATACCCAAGATCATGAGACTTGGACCAGGTAATCTAAAACCAGTGCATATGTTCCCATTCATTTCAACTACAAACATGATGTAGACTGATTCTAACGCACTGTTCCTTGTGTGTAGGAGGTGCAGTCATGTTGCTAGTGTATGAGTACGTCTCCAACTGGCTTCAAAGAAACTGGTGATGAGATGCATCGCAAAGCAAGCAGCGTGCCAGCCATGTACCTCAGCACTCTGCTCTTAGGCCTTAATTCACAAAGTCAAACCAATTTCAGTCTGTGCACCACAAACCATGAACACCACAACTTTCACAACATACTGCTATCATATTCCAAAGGTAAAACAGTTAAATAGAAACTGAATTGGCCCATACTTCAAGGAATATCCACAACTGTGCTTCACTAGATTGACATTAATTCTGCTCAGGAGTCTTACCTTCATTTTACAATAACATTGTTGCACCACATCTCATTCCACTCCTTGTTGATTTTGACGCAAGATAATTACAGGGAAATTCTCATGACATATTCTTACCCATGACGTTAGGGTGCCAGTGTGTGTGTGTGTGTGTGTGTGTATGTGGGGGGGGTGTATCACAGTTAATTCACTGGCATTGCAGTGCTGCACACCCAGTCACAGTCTACACTCTCCCACACTCACAACTCCCTCACCATTAAAGGCAACCCAGCAGGAAATGGCAACGCTTTAAGTTTACATCAAACCAAATTTAACATACCTTACCATTTCTAATGGAGGGCCACTTCCATGCTTATGGAACACCAACCGTGAGCCTAAAAAATGTAATGATGAGCACAGAGTCATTTCAGAAGCACTTCATTCAGGTGTGTTGTCAGATGTTTTAGTAATTGTTTGTATTCTTCTTCTTAAACATAATTTCTGACACGTCTTGTGACACAAATTATGAATTTGAGATTTGTATTTCTTGTTAGTCTGAATTGAAATTTATATTTCTTTAGTCATTATTACTTGCACATTAATGTGTCATTATTACTTTTTAGACACCTCTGACTGGATTTTTTTTTAGATTCCATGTTTAAAAATAAATAATTTACAAAAAGTTTTTTTTTATATTTTGACAAACATCAGTGTTTCAGTGGCATAATAAGTTTACCATGTGTGATAACACTAATAGTCACAAATCAGTAGCAAACAATAAAATTCACCAAACATTGTGATGGGAACAACAGTATGTATGTATTATAAAAAGTGTTGGTGGATTCCAAAGGTCAGTTTAATTGCTGAACTTAATTAATTGGCAAAGTTATTATTTCCGTTTTTATCAATGTAGTCATTCTCATGTGCTTTTAATTGCAGTTTTCATAGAAATATTGTTGCTAAGTTAGTATTATGGATGAACATTTTAAAAGAGCATATGAAATGAATGAAATGTGATGATGTGTCTCTATTGTTCCCCAGTACTCTTGATGAAAAAGGACATTAATGGAAATGTTTGTTGGAGCTTTTTTTGAAATAAAATGCTTAATTTTAACATTTACAGTCCTTTTCATTTTAACATTGACATCTCTTTTTTGTAATCCCAACAGCAATGTCTTAGCTCCTTAGTCTTTTTACCTTTATTTTCTGAATGTGGTTGATCAAGACAACACTAGTAATAGTGAATCAGTTAATTTTTTCGCTTGTGTCCTTTCTTTCTCTTCTCAGATCTTCATGCTGAAGCCTTGTAGATGCCTGTCAGCCATCGCAGCTGCATGAGCTAACAACAAGTTGTCAGTCAGCTCTTTTAGCCTGCAGGGTGATGCAGCGTAACTCAGCACGAGTTAAAATAACAAAACCCAAAAGTGCAAATATGTGAACAGGGAACCTCTCTTTCTCTCTTGTAACTACTTAAGGTTTTTTTTGTTTGTTTTTGTTTTTTTTTGTTTTTTTTTGTTGTTTTTTTTTATTTTCACTAAAAAATAGCAGTTTTTGAGTGTTTTGATGGGGTGACATTTAAATTTTTTCATCAATAAACATTTTTAGTATATTAGTACTGAATATCACATTTTTTAACAGTGCTGTCTAATTTGTCTATCTAGCCTGGCTTTTGGAGGCATTTCACTTACTGGCATGAAATATTTAGTGCATAATTTAATCTTGGCCTGAAATCCCATCTTCTTTGGAGGAAAGCAGTGAGACCTGGCCTGTGAACCATGCTGGCATTTACATGCACTTGGTAAAGTGATTTGTTGGTTGCATTTTTTGCAGTTTTGGTAAAACAGTGAATCTACATTAAGCATTATCTAAGTATATGTATAATGTATATGTATATGTATAATACTACCAAGCCCTTTAAGTTTCTAAGTGTTTCTCTCTTTTTTTAGTCCCATCTCAGTTCCTGTCTTTCCTTACTCTTACTACCAGATCTGGACTGTTATGATGGAAAACAAAATGGCTGAGGCCCTTTTTAGCCACTGTATATATGGGTAACAACCTGTAGTTTGTATTTTCTTCTCTTCATACCTCCTTCTCCTTAATGTCATATTTTGTTTTAGGCCTGTCATAGAATGAGTCACTAGCCTCATTAATGTGAGAAGATTTGTTTCTTGTTCTCTTTTAACTAGGGAGGCTGAGACAGACTAACCACTGGGAATGCGGAGGCTTGATGGATGTTTTGAACATTGTGCTCAGTGTTGGAATGCCGTGTTATAGGATCAATCATGGTGTCTTGTCTGCATGCTTGTTTTGTGCATTCTGATTTTCCGCAGCTTTTCATTGGTATAGTTAAGTCTCTTTATTGTTTGTATTAGTATCTTGTTACTTTCCATCATATAAATCTTCTGAATTCCTAACAACTACATAGATAGAACCTCTCTATCTTCTGTATTATATTTATTCTGTTTAGACAGAATTACTATTATTATTAAATCAGCTCTCCTTCACCCCACACTTAAACTTGATTACACTGTATACAGGTGCTGGGGTTTCTCCCTAGCAATCTCAAAGTGAGCAGTGTGAAATGTCTGGGCCTCTGTGTTATAACATCACCATAGACAGCCAAGCTGGGCTTTCCGTGAGTGGATCTGCTCAGACTAGGAGACCTAAACTCACCTGTGTGTGTTTAGAACATGCTGTTCTAATACACCAGGGAAAACAGTCTGCTTATGGTCAGCCACCCCTCTAAATCAGGCTAGCACCTTAGCCATGTTCTCCACTATTGTTGTAGACCCTGCTTAGTGTTAGCATACAGCACACTCCTGTCTTAAGCCTGATTGCACACAGTCAGCTAAAGATAACCATGTGACATTTGACTTGGCTTTCCATAGGAATTAATTCTAAACAGATGTGTGTGTGTGTGTGTGTGCATGAGCATGTGGTTTTTTTTTCGTTTTCTGTTTCAGCGGTGGCTTTGAGATTAAGGTGTTTGTCATATCCCGTTTGCCTCGCCTTTTCCTGTGCGTTTCAGCTCCTTAGGAAAATTGCCTTGTTTCCATGTTGTTATACAAAATTTTTTACAAAGATTAAAGGCACAGTGGAAGTGGATTATTGCTCATGTTTTGCATCTTTCTTTCTGTCTATGCAGATCTCCCCCCCCCCCATCTACAGTCTGTTTCATATGAGGAAAAGCAAGCATTATACCTGGAAATATGACTGTGTGGTAGCTTTCTCCAGGCATATGAATATAGACTGAGTTTTGGTAAGAACCAACATAATTATCAGTGCTGTTCATCCTATATTGTGTTACATAGAGACAAATGTGCATGACACTGCATGTCGCTGTTGTCGGAGCAAAACCTTGTATTTCCATTTTTGTAGCTTTTCGGTTTTTGGCATAATTTGAAAAATCCTGTTGTCCTTTACATTGTTTGTACATTTTATGATGAACGGACCAAAAGAAATGGCCCAAAATGGCTTGAAAAAATGTCTGGTTCCATTGACTTGCATAAAAATTGTTTTTTCCTTCTCCTTTAAAGTTATCATTTTGGAGGTACAAGGTTTTGTTCTGACAGCAGCAATATACAAAGCATGTGGATTCTGCATAGAATACATTGTAGTATCAACGTCTTTGTCAGTGAACTCAGCACACGTAAATAGCATTCAAAGCATCTCATTTGAATAGAATAGGGTCGCCAGAATGTGTTTGGTGGGCTATGAGGCAGTGTACATGTGCTTACTTGGTGGTTCACATACGGTCAAAACAGGACTGCGATTCCAAAGCAACGGTCCGTGACCACTGTGCCAGAGTGCAAGTGTTTTCCAAGTCAAATCAACAGCAGCACCACGTTGGCTGTTTACTTTGTACCATGTGGGGACTGTTTAAATGACACAAGAGCTGGTGTCATATTATACAGAGGAAAAATAGAAAAACTGATATTAATTGATCGCTGTTTTTGTAATGTATTTATTTAGATATTTATTTAAATATTATGTATTTATCACTTGCTCCTGAAATGCTTGAAGTTGCAGCCTTTACTGGTGTTCACTTTGCTATTTAGGACCAGAGAGACATGGTTTATGTGCAAAAGGCAGGCTAGAATCGCTAAGAAAACTTGCTCTGCATCAGCTCTGTGTGTGGACAAAGAGGCTCAGAAGAACTTCCAGAATATCCTTCGTAAGTATTCTGCTGACTGCTGTGTTAAAGCAGTGTGTTTGTGTGTGCATTTTCCCCAACCTAATGTTAAAACGACCTCTTAATTCTGCATAGTATGTATGTATGTGTATATATATATATATATATATATATACACATTTTTTTTCTGTCTACTGAACAACAAGAATAACTATTGGCAAAAACATAAAACGGATATATTTATTTTCTTAAAATATTAAATATTTAATGGGCTTTAATATTAGTAATGTATTATTTGTTATTAATAGTATAACATTTTTATTTTGTTTAAAGCTGTTGCAAAACCAGCAACTTTTAGTCTAATCCGAACTTGCAAGTCTGATGTGCTGACCTGCAATCCCTTAAGGTTATAAACTAAAGGCTTAGTTCAACAAAGCTGCCAAATATCTGGAACATATCAGGGAGAGCAATAATGGTATTAAAATACTTGGTCACTGCACCCAAAAATGATGTCAGCATGTTTGTCCTGTCCTATAAAGGCAGGTTATTGGCACAAAGCTGTATGTTTAGTTGTAACATTCCAATTTTCTGCTGCAAACTTATATTATAAAGCAAGAATAGACATAATGAATTTGGCTCAGTCTAATAGTATAAAATATTAGTAATTTAAAATCTTTTATTAAATCCCATTTTCTTTACAGCCACTACAAATTATTATTATTATTATTATTATTATTATTATTATTATTAAATCAATTCTATTTGATGTAGGAGTAACTTGGAAAAAAATCCATAAATTGAGGTCTGTCATTTGTGTCCTTTAATAAGATACATTCAGTTCATTGTGCAATGTTTGGAAGTGTGCAGCTTCACTGGTATTTAATGTAGCATGAATGAATGCTGGTGGTGTCAGAATGTGCATCACAGTCCCACACTGACTCTACTCACATCCATCTCTAATAATTGCACGGCATTCAACGTACCTTACAGTCTAATAAATTAATGTAATAACTTCTCCCAAAAGTTCTGGCATACATTATAAGAGAAGTAAAATTGGCATTCTAAATTTTATCAAAAACGTGACAGAGAAACAAAACGAAGCAAAACATCTGGACTTTAGCTGTTTATAACACCCTGAAACATTTAAATGCAAACTGAATGGTTCTTTTACATAATGCTTATTTAGTTAGTACTATTTGGACCCATTTTCTCAAAGTAAAAAAAATTATATATGTATATTCACAGAAAGCTGAAACTGAACTAGCAGTGAAACCATTTGATGATTTGATGAGGAAGGTCAACTGCTGTCAGATCTCAGTGACCTAAAACTGCAATGCCGTCTATAAGAACACTCTCCTCTGTAGTGTGGACAGAGAGGACTACCATTGACATGTCAAATTGAGTGGACTCCTCAGGCAAGTCGTTTATAAATATATCAAAGGGCTGACATTAGTCCATTCCAGCAATTTTTTTTTTTTCTGGAAAGTCTTGACTTGTGTGTACCATCCCTTCTTGGTCTAAAAAACCCTCTACTCCAGAATCACAGAGCAGAGGCTGTGACAGAGTGGACAGATTCCCGGGAGGCTGTCATGCCCTTGAAGGCCAGCGGGGCGGCGATGTCACAGCTGTGGGGAGAGAGAGCACTGCCACTGTGCGGCTGCCATGTGGGGCCGGTCACATAGGCCGACGTGGTGCCGCTGTACCCCATGTAAGGCGACACTTGGGTGGGAGGATGGTAGGGATGGATGCTGGGAGCTGTGACATAGCTGTTCACTGTGGGCAATCCATTCGGCATCTACGAGAACGAAGAGAGACAGAGTTAGGAGTGAGATTGACTAAACACAATGAGAGATCATATCATACACTCTTAAATATTCCTAAATGGTTGGACATACCATACTAGGAAAAACCATTAATTGATATGGAACTTTTACATTATATGTTGGTTCTTTAAACACTAAAATTATTCTTCATACTTGCATATCTCATTTACAAAAAAATGGTTCCTAAAAGAAGTTCTTTAGGGAACTCAAAGTGGTTTGTCCATGTCATCGCTCTAAAGAACCCTTCTTGGCACCTTTAGGCTAGGACTTTGTAGTTTAGAAGAATATGTGAGAGTAAGATTGTCATAAAGAGATGAAACATGATGAAAGACTTAAGACTTTTCATGGAAAATGGAAACACTGTATAGAGAATGTCAGAATCAGAGGATGAGGAATGTCTGTAAGCATTTGGCAGAAAGGCACTGCAACTGGAGGAATTTACCAAGCTTCTTTAACATGAAGTAAAGATACTCAGACTCTGGGTGGTCCTTGACTACTGAAATCCTTTCCACAGATAAAATATCCTTTATTCCTCTGGATTTACCCATTACAAATCTTGACCGCTCTGGCTGTGAGTTGTGCACCCTTCACCTACACATGGCGCTCAAAGACAGATGACTTTGACAGTACATTTTCAAAAAAAAAAAAACATCTGGATTTAGCTACATATCTCTGAACTACAAAACTCTAATAGGTCCAACATTCATCCATCACATAAAAAGGTAACATCAGCAAGCCACATATGCAAAATCTGTTACTGGGTGCTTGATATTATATCCTTATTAACTAGTTTGCATGGAAAGCAACCAGAATGGCTGATAAAAACACTAGAATGTAGTACAACACTATGGATTTCAGGCATGGCAGAGAACATTTCATATAATAGCTTAACCATCACCGCAGCGGTACAGTGGACAAGAAAGAGAAAATAAAATCCTACTGCTGTTTTGCGTATTACGAAGAAAAGGTTCTTCTTGGTGGCGAGCTGATGTGAGAGTAACGGTATCTGTAGCTAAACACTGATTGTGAGGCGGGTTTTTACATGCCCTCTGCGCGTGTTTCTCAACGCTCTTTTTCTCGGCCACGTTTCTCTTTCTGCTGTAATTGTGAAATGATTCTGAGCGATACAGACGGGCTTCCTAAATACGCTTACATACTTACATATTCGATTCGGACAAGCAGATACTCGAAGTACGACGGAAAGAAAATGAGAAAAAAAAGATCGATCCCTTCTGACACGACTCGTCTTGCTGTCTCTCAGATTATCAGTCCAAGAAATTAAATGAAAGTGGGTTTCAGATGAGAAATTAGTAATCAAAGTATGATAAAAATAAATCTATAAAAAATAAAATCATGATAATATGAATAAGTACTAAAAACTAGTGTCTGTCTACAATGAGAAAATAAATCATTGTTTTAATGCAGTAGTTATTGTTTATTTTATTCTATTTATGTTTTGTGTTTTCCTTTTTCTTTAATAATAAAAAGGTCTTGTGCAGTTTAATTCTCGCTCTTGTCTCCAAAGATCTGAGCCTGTATTAAGGCACTAACGCAGCGCCGCTGCTTATTAGATTTTAATATTATCGTTACTATGAACTCATTTCTACATTACACGAGACATTCACCAAGCAGCGAAAAAACTCGTGTGACTAAATAAATTCAACAAGGCTTCTTGGTTTCGCTGAGTGTTTTCTCCTCCTCCTCCTCCTTATTATTGTTATTATTATTATTATTATTATTATTATTATTATTAATACTGCTACTATTGTCGTTGTTGTTATTAATAATAATACATATTTCTAGCATTATTCTTATTCGCATTCTTCTTATCATTATTCCTATTAGTTATTCAAAAATCGTGTTAATTAGCTGAATTATGAATTGAGCACTATTTTGTACAGCAGTGCGTCACACCAGAAACGACCTGCATGTACATAAATTATTGTAACGCCTTTTTAAATTTTAATTTAATCACAACGCTCATGTTGTGAGAAAAAAGAAGCCTCTGATTCTAATTCTAATAAGCAGCCTTTTCAGATTTCTCGCGCATTAACCGATTTATCAGTGAGCTTCCTTTATTATTGTTAATCAAACATTTATGTTTCCATTGTGTTCAGACTGTTAATCTTCCTGACAGATATGACTAACTGAATTAGAGGCGAACCATCGATCTCCATTAGGTTATGTAATCCAGGCTGATTGGAGAGATCTGCTCATTCATCGTGAATGACAAACTAAGCCGCGCTGCTTCACACTCTTCTATAACTCTGCTATAGAGGCATCGCACAGATACTGGACTTTAAAGTCGAGCGGATTGTGAAGAGGCATGTTAAGCGTGCAGGTAATGCCCGATCATCAGTAATGAAGATTTATTCCGTCGTATTCCACGAGACATAAACCTCTAAGCCCCCCTAATAAACGATTCATCAATCGCCTGGTGGCGGCTCAGCCGAGCCGAACGGATCACGCCGTAGCCTTCCCTCCGGGTCTCACGTCATCACGTAGCTCGCGCCCCTTTCTTTAACCGGCTGTTACCCTCTCGCGTAACGAAAACGTGGCCTACCTGCGCGCGAGCATCTTCACGCACGCGCGCACCTTTGGTACGGATAGCGCATCATGAGTGACCGCAGGTTTTTCCCTTCAGGTCAAAAGAGATGATTTTAACTCCATTTCGGGGTTTAAAAATCTATTGTTAAAGTTAAAAAACTGCACAGTTTCATACAAGAGGATTACCTGTCAATAAGACAGACACTTTGGAGAAGAAGAGACCACTTTAATCTGTGAAAGAAAGAGACAGATGACCGAAAGGCCCAGAACTGAGTTCAGGGAAACGAGGGCGCCATCACGTTTGCCGTGTTTGTAGCCACAATCAACACTGAGTGGGCTTACTCACACCCAAAAAGAGAAAACTGGGATAAAAATGTTCCTTCGGTTTAGCCCGTAAGAGCACGTTAATACGCGCAATGAATCATACTTAATAATCAAACAATAATCCGTTTGGGCGCACTTTTAACTGCTCATTGAGCTGATTTGAGTGTTTTATTTAAACACCTTTTACAGGGCGGAAATTGAAATGGTACTCTGGTATGCGGAGGTCTAACAGAAAAAATATCATTTTACAAATTAGATGTGTTCAAACTTTATTGTAGTTAAAACGGATAAATGATGCATAACTTGCTGACGTAGCAAAAATACGAGCTTAGAGGAAGGTGTGACGCAGAGTTTTCAAAACCTCTTCAAAACTCAACAAAGTAACGCAGGGCATCTGCAACAGCTGTTCTTAGACAGGATTAGTTTTCAAACAGAAGAAGCTCTAATTTCAATGTCACGAGGTAACATTTTAAAATACACAAAAAGAAACACACACACACATACATACAGTTTATATATATGGCGGGTGCTAAATTTTATACGCACCCACACGTTTTATCTATAAAGAACACACACACACACACATATATATATATATATATATATATATATATATATATATATATATATATATGTATGTATATGTATATATATATATATATATATGTTCTTTAAACATTAGCACCTACCATATGTTTTAAGTTTTAATTAAATTAAAAATGATACAGATTTTTTACATTTTGTCTCTGAAATGAGTCTATTTTGAAGCAATAATAAAAATAGTAATAATAACAACAATACACAACATTTGTGTCTAAAACAAATATGTTCGGTTCCAATGTTCATAGTCGCGCCAGAGAGCTATTTTGAGAATACTGCGCGCGCACATTCACTCACATACACTCACGCACTTCACAAGTTCATTCTCAGTTATGATAAGCATTCACTCTTGGCATGCTGGTGAGTACTGACAGGATTAACATGGTTTCTGAAACTGTGCTCGTCCCTTTCTGTTTAAGAGGAGGACTCATTAATTCTGTCTGACAGTACAGGAGGTGATCTCTTTTACCTGTGAGTATTTTGCGTCAGCTTCTAAGTGAGGCTTATCCACGCCATTGACTAGTGGAGAGCTCGCTGACGAGAAATTACTCCTGCTAATAGCGCTCCATTCTTCTAGTTTGGCGCTGGGAAAGGACGGACTGTCACTAACTGGGGGCAAAACAGAGACAGGGAAGAGGGAAGTCAGAGAGGACAAGCGTTGGGTACAGCACTTCTACAGCACAACAGCTTAGTCCGTACTAACCCCTACTGATCATGACCTTCACCCTCAGCAGGCCACTGAACTAACAGCAAAAGCTGCTGCTCTCACCGCTGTCAGAGCGCTGCGACCCAGCCACCCGTAAAGCACCCATAAGCGTGGATGGTCGATAATCGCTCAGATCTCTCAGCCTTTAGATGAACAGAGTAAAACTCTAAATGGTCCCTCGAGAATACATACAGCACGTGTTTGCGCTGAAGTATGGCCCTGCTTAAAATACAGTACTGCATTTATACATTCAAATCCACCCTGCGTGTGCGTCTCGCTGATCAAACTGCGCTCGCAGCATAACGGAATATAAGACGATTCTTTGGTGTAATGAGCAGGACCATTTACCCAGCGCCTTCCTGTGCGGACAAATTAGATTTACTCTAACCGTTTCCTTTTTGTCCGTGATGGATATTATATTATACACGGTTCCTAACGTTTGAAATTGGAAAAGTAAGGCCACCAGGGCTGTAACCTGAGAGGACTAGAGGAGAATATCATGAGAATCACATTTTGTCGCCGTTGTTCTCTCACGAAATCCACATGTATGTATTTGAGTTCATATATTATACATATATTATTATACATGTATTGTTGTATACCAGTTCACTGTCATTGTAACTTTATTTGTGTGTGTGTGTGTGTGTGTGTGTGCCCGCCGTGTTAGGGGGTGGGGTTGTGACAGGCTATGTAGGCCTTACCAACCATATAGAGTTCCTGCTCCAAATGACTGAAGGCCCAAAAGTTAGCAGTCTCTCTCTCTCTCTCGCTCTCGCTCTCCCTCTCTCTCTCTCTCTCTCTCTCTCTCTCTCTCTCTCCCTCTCAGATCATAAGTAGGTGTTCTAGACGTATTATAAGTGATCGCTTTCATCAAACAGACTGCCTTGTACAGCAGTAGTCACAGAGTGTACGTTACACTTTATTCCAGCTTTCAAAACCTGCCGCAAAACATCTGCTAATCATTTAGAAATGCATAAATTGTTTAGAAAGTCTGCCTCGGTCCTCTCTAGTAGTTCTTGTTCGCTACGAATGGCTACGTGGCCGCTGAACAGCGGTACAGCAGACTGTCTGAAGCTGCTTTAAGTAGTGCGGCCTTCAGGAACACAAACATGTTTCTGCACGGCACCGTCAACACACACACACACACTGAGCAGACACTGAGGGTGCATGCTCTCCTGGACAAAACATTCGATTTGCTAAATGACCGCTGCTCTCAAGCATGATTTTATTTCGTTTAAATGTGTAAAACGTCTGTGAGTTATTTGAGTATTTGAGAGGCTTAGCGAGTATTTAAGCGGCCTGGTCATTTTACGTTTGAATAATCTTACATTTAAAATCGTATAAACATGACTGCAGTGTGATGGTCTGCGATGGAAGTTCATCTCTGCATTCCTTAAAGTTAGAACTACCTAGAAGTACGTCAACGAGTGAGATCCCAAGATCCCCAACTGCACTAAAGAAAAATAAACTTTTATTATTTATTTTATTTTGTAGTATTTTCTTCTTCTTGTTGTTATTTTATTATTATTATTATTAATAAAATTATTATTCTGTAATGCATGTGTTAGTGAATCTGTAAACTTTGATCACTTCATTTAAGTTTCGTCTTGAGCTCTTTGTTATTATATATATATATATATATATATATATATATATATATATATATATATATGGAAAAGACTATGTTCTATGTATATATACATACACGAGCTCCTCAACCATTTATTTTAGGGCTCAGATATATATATATTCTCTACAACGAAAATCTTAAAAGAGCACATCATCCTTTATCATTTAATTTCTTTCGTATGACCTTGTTCTGTGCGCCGCCTGTAGAATAAATATGATATTTCAAATGAAACTGTTTTGTTCTGTTAAAAGCGAATAGACTACAGTCTATAACATTTTTCATCTGCTCTTCCTTTACCAAAATTACTGAAGGCTGCGCGCGCACACACTTACATATATACACATACAATCCAAACCCAAATAAGGCTTTTTACAGCCAGTTTCCCTGACGTAGATTAAGTCTAGTCTAGTCTTACACTAAACTGTAGTGCCAGCTGGTGAATCGCCATTTAAAGTTAGGCTTAATCAGAGTCTAGGAAACTGGCCCATAGAAACGTACAGAGAGGCTAGGCCTGCACACATACACGCACACACATCAAGTCATAAGGGTGCCAATAAAAAGCGTTTTCCATTACCAATAATTGAGAGTATGCTTACTTTGCTGCTCCGTTATTGACCGAATGCCCAAAATGTCTGTAACAGAATGAGAAGAAGGCCATATTCTGTGCATAGCCATATGTCCAGGGAGAGTGGGCATGCCGGGGGGAGTGGGCACTTTAGTCCCTGTCGCTGCGATCGGAGTCGGATAAGAGTACAAGTGGTTGTAGGGCAGCGCAGGCTGCGGCTGAGGGTGAGAAGTCTGTTTGCTCGACTCGTACTGGTTCTGCTGGGCTACGTTTCCGATCTTGTTGCGGAGGATCCGGCTGATCGAGCTGACGGAAGGCAGGTTGAACTTGTCGCACACGCCGTCGGCGAGCAGCCTGTCTCTGATCTCCCAGGCGAAAATGCCCGGGTCTCGCTGCTTGTAAGTCCGAATGTGCTTCACCACAGTCGGGGTGGTGACCCGCGGCTTGCTGCCACCGATCGCGCCGGGCAGGATCGAGCCAGTCTCGTTATAACGGGCCAAGATCTTACTCACACAGCCGTGAGAGACACGCAGCTGTCTGCTGATGTCGCAAGGCCTGATGCCCAGCTGGGCCAGCTCTACAATCCTGAGGCGGACGGCGTTGGGCAGGGGTCTTCCGTTTACAAAAACACCACCGAGCTGGTTCACCTCCCCAAAGGCTGGTTCTGGGCGTGCAGAAACACACGGAAAGAAAAAGCAGAGTAAGTTAACACTTTGGCGGTTTTTGCATCAGACCATGTTTACGATGTGTAAAACTTAACGCTCAAATCTCAGCCCAAAGTCTCAGCAAGTATTCAGGATAGGCCTAGACTTAGTCATCTTATACGTTTTGTTAAGGAGCTGATCCACCTCCACCTTTTGTTTTACATCTATCATATTCAGCAGTGAAGAACCAGCGTGTAATTTAGTTGCAATTCTGATACAGCGACGTGTTTATGGCACTTTTTCTATTACATTCTGCAGCGTTTTCCAGCAACTCCGTCGGTCATAATTACCAAACGCATTTACTATGCCGATTCAAGCGTGTTCATGCAGTACCGCCGCTGTAGGGCTACTGAAGTAGCGATCGCACCAGTACTGAAGAAAGAATGCGCAAAACGCCATTTTAGGACTACCAGCAAATTAAAACAATGCAACACGAGATCAAGGATCTGCTCGCTGAACAGGATCATTTGTTTATGAAGGTTCCGGCTTCACAGCTCCAGGAGTAAAAGAAAGACAATCTCCAGCTCTTACCCATTGCGTGTAACCCTCCGATGATAAAAGAAAACCCAGAGTGACGTCCTCTGACCAGCTCTGAGTCCAGTTTAGCTGGTCTAGCCGCCGGCCTGCAGTCGAAGCGGGAGGAAAAATCAATCGTTTCACGCAGATGCGATAGCGAATAGTTACAAGGGAGGCAAATTCGCGTTCTGTTTCCTGATGGCAGAGAGGACAGGCTTACATTTTCGGTCCGCAGAAATCGGGGACGGCCTTCCAAACTTTCCTCCACGGTGAGCGCTCGCCGTCCAATCACATTGCGCCGTTGTCGGACGCCGTGCTCCTATTGGCGGAAAGTGTTGACGTGACGAGCGGTTGCCGTGGCTAGGGCTTCCCCTCTCGCGTTTGATCCACTGGACGGGATTTCCTCAAAAGAGAATTTGGTTTAGACCTCAGATAAAAATGGTGAGTTTTCTACGCCTCGAATTGAGCCGTAATTCTGTTTCATAAGCAGGACTAAAAAGTGAAATTAGGAGTAGTTGAAGGGACCTATGTAAATGCTGGTTTTTGAAGAATTATAAAATCTGTCGATGATATATGTCTTTATAACTGCACCACACTGTGGCACGTAAACCTATCACACGCACCTTCGTCGAACTTGGTCAAAAGAAAACGTGGTAAAAAACAGCGTGTCAACGGGAAACGACGTGAAGAAATGCTTGTACTTTCTATACAGAAATCGGCGCGATCGTGCTATTGTGAACTTTTGTAGGTTGTCCCTATAGAAAGGAAGCTAAACATGTTTACACACCTTTGGCAATGGAGTACTAACCAAGGTTCGCCAGCTGGTGTCTTGTTCCGTCACCATGCATGCTTATTTTTCCTGTTTGTCAATGTCCATTTTTACACATACATTGTGTGTATAATATTCGGCTAAAATTAATAATAAAAAACTAGTCAATATTTGAATCGTTTAGAGTGTAACTGACACTTGTTGATGCTCATCTCAGAGAGTGTATGACTGGCCTGCTCCAGGCCTATTTCAACGTTATAATTGCAAAAATATTTGTCTAAAGCGATGCATCCAGATTACACTTTATCCGTGAAATGAAATCACCCTGATCCATGATAATCTCAGAAGCCTTGTTTTTTGTTTTCTGACAGCTCATCGAGCAGTGTGGAGGTGTCCTCCTCTGAGACCCTGGTGTCAGGTGTAAAAGGCTATTGTTCTGCTGCACTTAGGTCTGTTTGAACAGTTTGACAGTCTTTGCATAGAGACCCTCAGATACTCCCAAGTCATTTGTATCTCTGTTTCCTGTTTACCCAAGAGAGCATTTTCGCTGGACATCTATCGCTGTCGCTATCGTTTCATTTGCTTTCACCTGTCTAAGCGCCTATCTCCATCTCTCATCTTACTCCATGGGTCAGTTTACATTCTAGTCGCCGAGGACCTCAATCAGTCACAGCTTAGTTTATTGCTTTGTTGCTTGCATCTTTATTTCTCGGGGCTCAGCTTGATTAAAACGTTTGAATACAAAATTTATTTAGAAAAAAAAAAGTTTATTATGGTTTGTTTTAGGTGGAAAATATGCTGACTTATTTAGAGTTCAGCGTGTTGATCTGATTATCAGAGTTTCGTTTTAATCACCGAAATGGACCCAATACATTTGCAAAACATTCGCGGAATCTCACTTACGGTAAACTGAGACGATGAACGGCGCGCCCGAGCTGCCTTTCTCTTTCTTCATCTAGAAAAGGAAACCGTGGCGCGAGGGGCTCCGAAAGAGAAAGACTTGAACATGCGCTTAAGGTGAGATACATCAGGAGACGAACAGAGAGAGAGAGAGAGTCAGAGAGAGAGAGCGAGGCCTCGGCCAGAGAGTTGATATTTCTCCTAAAGGCTGAGCTGGGGATCTTGTGATGCTGGTCTATTTGCAAGTGCAGTTTATTTACTTTGAGGCAAATATTCGATACTCTCGCTTTGCTTAAGACGAGACATAAATCTGGGGTGTTAATTGACCACTGAAAGATGAGGAGACGCGCTGTGTGCGTTAATGAACCGTAGAAAAGAATGCGACAGAGACAGACAGCTGGTTCTCCATTTTCAGCCTTTGTAAGAACCCTGACACTGACGTTCACGCTTTCACGTAAGATACTACATTTCATATTATTCGAATATTACTTGCCAAGTGCGTTGTTTTTCGATAATATCAAGCCGCCGTGTGAGTTCTGTGAATTATTATTATTATTATTATTATTATTATTATTATTATTATTATTATTATTGTCGTTGTTGTTATTATGATGATGATGATGATGATTATTATTATACATCATCTAATATATGAAATAAATTATTAATTGACCGAATACCGAAAGCTCCAAGAAATAAATACATTTATCGAAATAAATTTAAATTATATTGCTAATACGTCTGTCAGCATTGTGCATTAATATGCATGATCTACGCGCTGTAATACGAGACTTTCTTTTTTCTCACCCAATACTAATACTATAACACAATTAGATCAGCTCTAGTTTGGTGTATTCAGAATTTGTTAGCATTTATTCAAGAAAACGTTCTTATTCAGTGTGTATTTTTGTTTGGACTAGGTACAAATTAAGGGAAGCTGACACGTAATTTCGACAAAAAATGTGTCATCAGATGCCTTCAGGCTATGGTTATCGTAATGGCCGTTATTATTTTAATGATGAGATGCTAAGAATGAGTTCTCGGCGGTCATCTGGCCGTGACGCACGGATTGTGTTGATGTGGAGGCTCGCGGCCCAAACACTGCCTGAGCCCTGAGCATTCTCCACATTACAACGACCTGAAGTGCCGTGTTACTACTATGTGAGTGATTTGATAAGCAGTCTTTAAATAGCGTAGAAGAACAGGTACAATAGACTTGAAGAGTTAGTAGGAGAAATAAAATAAAAATAATCATCAAGATCTATCATTAGCAACTATAATTCCACTGATGTATTTGATTTGTCATAATTTACTGCTACTGCAAATTACTGAACTTAATACCATTCAGTTCTATACGGTATTAAAGTTATCATCGAATTCACTCGTGCGGTTGAGTTATGAAGATGAATGCTCTCCTCTAATTCGGAACAGTAGTTGTCTTTCAGTAGTCTATAGCAGGCTGAGATGATCCGCGTGTCTTTTTTTTCCGGACCACCACAAGTCAATGCATCACATCAGTCTTAAGCGCTGGAATTGATTAGCTCAGTTAAGAACCGTGAACGGTACCTTCACGTACAGCTCTCTTTAAATATTTTCGTTTCTCTCCAGTGAATGCCATCAGACAGCCTTCATTTTACGCTGCTGATCCGGCAGAACAATTAGAGCCGCTCCATGCGCTCTTTATGAAGGCCACTTTCTCTGAGTTCAAGACTGAGGAAATGAATAGAGTAACGTGCATGATCGTTATGCTCAGATATAGACACCTATAGAAATGTCTTCATACTCTTTTAGAAATATTTCAGCTGAAATTTTCTGAAGGAACATTCAATATAAGTGTGATTACAGGACGCGCCGCTATATTTCGGTGATCAAACGAAAAAGTACGTCATGCGCTCATGGCTTGAATATACATCCTCTGATAATGCCACTCGAATGGAAATCGTGAGTTTATTTTCAATGCGTTAGGCAGGCTTTGATTGCTAAGCCCCCCTCAGTCTTTCATCTTGGATTCATCTCATGCTCTGATAGTAATGACTTAGTACATTACGGCTAGTTTACATCACTATAAGTAAGACTCAAAGAATTCGGGGAGAGGAGATTAACACAACGCCAAATTCGGAAATTGTCTCTCAGTCATCTACACTGTCTCGGGGACAGTGATGTCATTCACGCAGAGAGCGGCCCACTCTCTTGGGGAGGAGGCGGGGGGGTCAGGAAGTTTTCAAAGTTTATCTGGTATGTGTTAGTAACGATGCGCTGGAAGTCAACCTTCTCAAATAGGTCCCCCACCAGCAATCAGCCCATACAGAGACTGTGGTGAACGCGCTGTAGTCAAATATGCATGTCAATGTCTAGATATGTTTGTAGAATGTAATAAAACACACAATATATAAAAGTGCATATATTTTGTAAAGTACTGACTAGTGATTGCAGAATAAAATCATTCGATGCTTTGGCATCGCTGACAGTATTTACGCGAAGATTTGAGACCCCATTGTCCTCTCCATGTTGTAAAGCCGCTAGAAATCCAAAATAGCTCTGCAAATGCTGGCTGCATAGTGGGTTTAGGCCACCCACTCTAAAGATACCTCTACTATAGGCTAAGAAAAGACGAGGAGTTTGAATATCCATAAAAGTTCAACAGGCATTGCCATCAACAATATATACATTTTTGGCATTGCCTGTAACCAATTAGACCTCACGCCACATGCCTGTCAAACAGTAGGGTTTGTCTTAGGGGACCCCATAACACGCAAGGCCTACTGGGGAAAGATAACGTGATCACGACGCTTATTTTCTCAGCGCATCTGTTTTATACAGCAGGTTTACTTTTGCGTGGAGCTGCACAATGGTTGAGTTTTTTTTCCAGCCGGTGCTCCAATGTCAGCTCACTTACCTGTGTTTTCATACACAGCTAGCCCACCGCAATCACCCGCATTCAGACGTTTACTTCAGTTCCTTTGCTGAACGTAAAGATCTGACGAAGGAGTTGGTGGAAACAGGCCTGTGTTAATTAGACTATGCTAATGAGCTTGTATCCAATACTTACCTGATTTAAACACGTTCAATAGGAAAACTCAGCGCTACATGTTTGGTTCTTGATTTCATGTGATGCAGACGATCATTTAATAACACACGACTGCAACTTTGTTTCAGTTAAGCCGTTAATTACTTTTAAACACTCAAAATTAATCCCTAAAAGCTCAGTGCAGCCTTCGCTCGGGCGCCGTTTCGTTGTGTAGATGTGATATGAGGTGATATATGCGCTTAGCCTGCTAAGAATAACAGCTCCACAGCCCGATTCCAGATCCAAATGAAAGTGAGGTCGAATTCATTAGGAGTGTGGAAAGAACGGCTGAAAAGGTAATAGAGTATGGCGAAGCTTTCGTTACCTCTCATTTCTAAGCTTTATTACAAAACAGTCATTTTAATGAAACTAAGTTTCAATAGGCTGTTCGCTGAATAAAGTATTAGTGAAGAGCTTATCTACTCACATTAGTAGAAGTACTTAACCAGAGGGCATTAATGGAGCTATATAAAGGTATATAAA